TTTGTGTGGTAATCCTGTTATCATGGTGCAATTTATGGATATCTAAATGTGGCTAATCTTGGTATAGGCTTGCAAAGTTGTGATTGTATGGCTGGACTCTACCCCCCCCCCTTGTAGATTACATGATGTTTGAGCCTATGCTACTTTACCTTGAGTGTTGACATGTACAGTTTAGTTCGGTTGGCTGCTTTGTTGTAATAAGTACATGTGTTTTTGTAACGGCATACGACTGTTGTTTCCCCTTCTTCCAGGTTTTTCTTCGGATGCCCTCAGCCGAGGACATGATATGGGAATGATCTCAGATCTCCCTGCTACTGTGGCAGCTGTTAAGAACCCTAATTCAAAGATTGTTTACGACGAGTATAATCATGAGCGGTTTCCACCTGGTGATCCCAGCAAGCGTGCTTTTGCTTATTTTGTCTTGACCGGTGGCAGGTTTGTTTATGCCTCTTTGATCCGTCTTCTGGTCCTCAAGTTTGTTCTGAGCATGTCTGCCAGCAAAGATGTCCTTGCCCTTGCTTCCCTTGAGGTTGACCTTTCTAGCATAGAGCCAGGGAGTACTGTAACCGTCAAGTGGAGAGGAAAGCCTGTTTTTATCAGACGTCGAACAGAAGAGGACATCAAGACGGCTAACAACGTTGACATTGCATCCCTTCGTGATCCACAGGAGGATGCAGTCAGGGTTAAGGATCCAGAATGGCTTGTCGTTGTAGGTGTTTGCACCCATTTAGGGTGCATTCCCCTGCCAAACGCGGGTGACTATGGTGGCTGGTTCTGTCCGTGCCATGGCTCACATTTGATGTGTCTGGTAGGATCCGCAAAGGGCCAGCACCATACAATCTAGAGGTACCCACATACAGCTTCTTGGAAGAGAACAAGTTGCTAATCGGGTGAGAATTATGCGACCTTTTATCTTTTGTGTGGAACAATAGTCTTGCTGCTGCAAATTGTCATAATAGATTTTTTCTCTGCACAAGAGGATTGCATTCGATTTATTCAGTTATTATGGATTTTGTATATGCTGTTTGATTTAAGATGAGTCAATGTTCTGAATAATGAAATCAAGATTTCGTTTTTTTAATAATATTTATATCGAATATATATCGGTATTTGATATTTACAGCTAAATTTAAATAAGTAGACTGGTTTTTCTAGTACATAAGTTAGGACTAGTGAAATTGTTGTGATGAAAGGGGACAACACTTGGAATATTGGCGTGTAACTGAAAATTTTACGAATGGCTTTCATTTAACAAGGTTGCCATTGTTACACGCCATGTACATCCACGTGACCACCAGCGCCACGGAATTTTATTTAACGTGTAGGTTTTGATATTGATAGTAATGTGTTTTCGACGTATTATTTTAGATTTTTTTTTGACATTTTTTTAATATATATATATAGAATATGAGTGACTAAATAGATAGTTTACTCTAAATTTTATCACTAGTCTCTGTAATATGTATTGTTTGTAGATCTAATCTTTATAATTAGATCAAATTTAGTTCATATAGAATTATAAAATTTTGATATTAACCCAATAGTTTCAATGACAATTTGATCAAAGAATTATTGCAATGACTAATAATAAAATTAGAGTTGCGGATTTAATGAGTTCCATTTGAATAATGTTCCGAATATTTTAAACATCAGATTAATGTTAATGAAATCCATTACCAATAGCATAATTTAATAAAATATTTTACTTTTAAATGAAAATAAAATAAAGATGATCAACACAGGAAAAAAAACAATAAATTAGTTAAAATAGATCAAATATTAACTGATACCGATACAACATCGACTACACGAATTGATTATTCGTGAAAGCATAGTTAAATAAATAGGATATAATTTTAATATTAATTTAAGCCGCATAGAAATATCCAAAGAGTATGCATATTGTCAATATAATCTCAATATACACGCTGCAGCCTGTAGTGCAAGTATAAAAGGAAACTTGGGGAGTCAAATTAGCATTCCTCAATAGGAACTAATGGCAATTTACCTCCATATATATCTGGAAGTTGGCTTTCATCAATGTCCTCGAGCAAGGCAGATTTCAGCTTTTTATTCTCAACAAAAACTATCTGCAAAAAATGAAGGAAATCGGGGTAATCAAAGAGGTTTTCATGAACATCCGAGCCGGCACCCTCATTGGACACAAGTATGTGTTTGATATGGATTTATTCAAAATTTCCAAGTATTTTGAGGGTCATTGAAGGATTCTATACGCTATAAGAGTCATGCATGAGTATTTCAAGAAAAATGAAAAGTTGGAGTAAAATAAATCAAAGTGACATAGCAAGCGTCTTACCTTCTTCTTGGTTCGGCTGTCAATGAATGGGTAAACAACCTTCCAGGCAGTCATGAATATGTAGGGCACATGAACAATAATCAATTTCCCAAGCCTCTCTGGATAGCAATCCTATAATCACAAACACGAACTTCAACAAAAATGAAGAGTCGGAGCAATATAGACCGAGATTGAAGATATCTGTACACGTCATGATGTAACATGCAATGCATTTGATCTTCAATGACTGCTAGATGATTGAAGATCAAACCTGAAGAATTGATAGAGATGCCAAATATGCACGAATATCACTGTTTGAGAATCCCCATCCTTCAAGATCACCAATTGCCACAAACTTTTCTTGTCCTTTTGGCATTCTAAAACACAAAAAGGATAGAATCTAAGCATGTTTGGCCATGTTGGCATATAACAAAACTCGACTATACATCTCGGTTCGAAGCAATTCATATGCATTCATGACCCTGGACCTTTCTCATTTCCCATGGTGATCCATGGAGATATATATGAGGGTAAACAAGCAGTTTCACACCACAAGTTCTAATAATTCGGGTCTGGTTCACTCAAACAAAAGTCGAAACATACTCTTATCCGGTACTCACAACTAACGAGTTCACTTAAGCTCATGTTATTCAAAACTCCTGTACCAGAAAATCGTGTCTTATGCATATCCAAACATGGATACCAGAATACGATCCCAATTGAACATACTCGTGTCGGACACTCATAACTAAAGAAGGTTAAAGCTATTTACTTGGCACAAATTTTCTCTAAGCCATACACAACAAAGCCTGCAAAAAGGTAGACCATAGCACAAGGTGAGTCCAAAAATCTGCACATTCAAGATAAAATGACAAGAAACAGAATTAAATAAAAGCAGCAAAATTCTGGAGAATCTGTTGAACAACAAATGCATAGAAGAAAACAAACGTTTGACTTCTTCCAGGTTTCCTTTGGTGGGCTTATGTCGACCCCCAAAGGCAACAACAATAGGTCGACCCTGTTTATCAACCCCTTGCATACAAAGCTTGTTATCAGCTAATTGAGTTGAAATCTCCGATTCGGATATGAATCCTTTGGGCAAAAACGTTCTTCTCCAGCTTAAGTACTTCAAGAACATGGTGGTTGCTTTCTCGATATCCAAATCACGAGCTCGAAGGAATCTCCGGATCATAAAATCATCAGCATCCTTTTTAAAAACAAAAAAAGTTAAAGTGAAATCAAGATCTGGGTACTTAAAAAAGAAACCCACAGTCAAAATTGCTGTATAAAACAACAAAGGGTACCTTAGCAGATGGGTCTTCTCTTTCGGCAAGAGCTCTCATGATACCGATTTTGCTTCGTTCTACCTCATCGCCAATGGCTTCCTTTTGTTCTTCCTCTTGGCCTCCATTTTCACGGTCTTTGAATTCCATTTCTTCTTTGTCGTGATTTTCTTCAGTTTCCGCTTTCTTCTCCTTCTCCATTGAAGCTGGAATTCTCTCCGTCTCTCAAAACAGAACACTGTGTGGTAGAGCAAGAGACAGAGGAGAGTAGCAGTTGAAAAAGGGGTATTAAATGATACAGAAGTCAGAAGGAAGTTAGTTCTCTGCTCACCTAAATTTTAAATATATGATTTGTACTGGATTTTTCGACCCGAAAATTAATGGGGGAGTCATTTCACTATATGATATTATTTTATCGAATCATTTGATCATTAAAAGTTATAAATGATCATCTAAGTATTTATATGTTTCAAACTCATCATTTACTGTTAAAAAAGTAATGATAGTTTAAACTAGACGTTAACTTGTTGACTGAGATATGTTAAAATATGATCTTAGAATCCCAAACGATTATCATATCTTAGTTAACATGTTAACGTTTTACTAACACTGCCAATTTTTAATCGAGAGTCGAGTGACCATTTGTAACTTTTACTAGTCGAAGGACTTAACAAAGCAACACTATATAGTCAAAGGACTATTTTATAACTTTTAATAATCGGGGGACTCAACAAAGTAATACCCTATAATCGAGAGACCATTTGTGTACTTTACCCTTAATTTAACCTATTGGTATTCATATAATTTCCCAAATATATATTGGAGTAGAATAATGAATTTAAAGTAAAAATTAGGGTAACTTAAAACTAAGTTAGGTTTGGACTTTAACTTTCAATGTTTAAATTCGGTTTGATCTATTTTTTTTTTAATTGTATATATTATATTATCCGCGTACAAAATTTTGAAAAAAAATAAATATACATAATTAAAGTAAAATATCATATTTTTAAAGAAGTGTGATATATAAATTTAGGTATGTGACAACCCCCAGCTAATCATAATATAAAAATGGAAACATTGATGATATTTTCAAACATGTTTTAAGGAAACATGCAGTTTCAAGAATGGCTTCTGGGTGGGTACTTGAAATTGCTTCTTCTATTTTCCTTGCACATACATAACTTTATCTTATCTCTCTATTAATTCAACATTGCACACCAAACCCGAACCACAAAAAAGGACTTGTATCAAATCTTCAGTTGACATCAAACCAAGAGGCTTAGAGAAACAAGTAAGAAATTATTATAAAAAAAAAAACCTACGGAATTTGCTATAGTGATCGGTAAAGTCATCTACAGTCAACGACGTTGGTCGAATTATGTATACGACATTCGGAATAAGGAATCAAGCTTCCAGGACTATGCAAAAACAGCAATAATAATTGCAATTGAAAGCGGAAAGAAGAAGAGTGCAGCTCTGACAAACTTCATGTCAAGGTAAAAATAAGGGAATCGATACCCGAAAAAGATGAAACATCATTCCTCATTCTTTACTTTCTTTGATTTGTGGGCACTTTGCTTTGAAGACCCTGAAATTGGAGTTGTCTCATGACTCCACGTTGGTTGGTTCATGGATCCTATCGATTCGTTACCATGTCTTCTTTTTGAAGGCTTAGATAGTTCATTGATTCCAGAGACTGTACTCTTTTGTCGACTACCATGTTTTCTTTTGTCGACTACTCTTTTATCGATTCGTTATCATGTTTTCTTTTTGTACGCCCCAAAGACATTGAACTTCTCCACCCTTTGCTTTGCATCGGAGTTGCAAAAGAATCAGTCATTCCAGAGGATCTTTGATGTAGCAGCTTCTTGTTAGAACTGAGCTGTTCGTATTCTTCAGGAGTCGTATAATGTACATGAGAAACTCGTCGCGAAATCTTCTAAACTATCAAGAAAGAAATCAAAATCAGGGAAATGCACCAATTCATTTGCAATACAAAACAAAATTCAAACAGTTTTAGTCATTAATCGCTACAATCACAACCAAGAAACCATACAGTTACCGAAACATTAACAACACAAGTGATGATTATCAAACTGAGCAAAGGATCGGTGACGAAAACCGAAGAATAAATGTGATAAAAACATGTGCAAGATCTATAAATGGAATCTACAATGTCAACCATTCTCAAGTTGACGCCTCTAGTTATATCAAACCATTTCAATATATTAACAGCATCGTAAAATAGAGTAAATATGACCTCTTATATGTGTAACAATCTCTTATCGCGTTAAAGAACCAGTTTGATAGCTAATAATAGAATGAAAATCCAATCTATCCTGACAGCCATACATGAACGCCAAAGAGGTTTCATCAAAGTTTGGCAATCGAATCCAAGTGTCCAATTCCAAGGACAAACACATCGAATTAAGTGTCTAGATGATACAGAAACATAAAAAAACAACTAAGAACCGAATTATGATCAAGAAATGTAAACAATCACCTTTGCACCGGGAGGTCCATACAACCTTTCATTCTTTGATTTTAAGTATATGTCGGTTTTAAGTATTGATTTTCAAACTTGAAAAAGAGAAAAATAAACGATGCAGGCACTGAAAAATGCAAAACTTAATACCGATTTTAGACTCCGATTCAGAGGATAAGATAACCGTTGCATCACTCACTTTGGATGCACTGCTAACAAGATCATAATCTTTTCCTGCCATATTTAAGCAAATAGTAAGTAAATCAGAACTAGCTTTTTTATATCAAAACATCAATGTAGCAATTCAACTGGAAAATATATAAAACTATATATAGTTCAGACTCAGCCATAACAAAACTAAACTAAGATCAATATAATACCAGTAGAATCTGTAATACTGCCTAATTTTCCATCAGAATCGAGCTGAAGAGTAACTACTTCGCCTTTAATTTCAGGATTCTGCAACAACCATAAACATAATAGAATAAAAACATTAACAATTCCTAACTGGGTTCAAATTAATAATAACAAAAAATTATTAAAGAGCGTAAGCAAAGTATAAATGATTTTTTTTTTTTAAAAAGAAATATTTTTGGTGAAGAGGCCATTGAATAAGGAAAAGCTCCTTAGAGTCCGATAGCGTAAGATCAACTAATTGCTGAGAAGAATCTTCTTCGAATTCTGGTGGAGGTGTATAAGCGTTTACTCCAGAATCCATGCTTTCAACAAAGCCGAATTCACAAAATATCTCAAACGATCAACGCTTTGGATTTAAAATAAGAGGAAAGGGAGAAAATAAATCGTAAATTACAACAAAAGGGAGGAATAGGGATTAGGGTTTGCTGGATGAAGGGAGGGAGTTTTAGGGAAGTTGGACAGGGAGAATAACAATAATCTGACAGCTCGTAATTTCTCTTATCATCTGACGGTTGAAATTAATTAACCGTGATAATAATTTTGTTTAATTACTTCGGCTGTGCTCTCCCTTAGTTACTATTGACTAGTTGATCATATTACACCTAATAAAATCCATTGAGGCATCAAATGGGTGTGCTTTAACTACTTTTGATGGAAATTTTGACGATCTCGATTGTACTGATTAACGCCGTATTCGTATAGACTATACTAACTTATCAGATATTGATTTAAATAGTTAACAGGTTTTTGTTCTTTATAAAAACATTTTCTCTATTATCAGAGTTAAATTTGACATCGTTTCTCTAAAAAATATCATATAATTATCTTGTTGATTTATTACTGTATTGAATTTTCAACATGATTTTTTTTTATTAATTAACGCTCATAACCTTAAAAGCAAGTCATAATTGTGATAAAATCAGTCAATTTGTCATTGTGTTATATATTATTAAATTTTATTTTATAAGAGTAGTTGTCGATTGATGTCATTTAATCTTAATTCAATTGATGTGTCGATTAGAAAACTTGAAAGCAGACAATAACTTCATATATATATAAATATATCGAAACTATTGATATAAAAATATCATAACATATATACCGAGAATAAAAACTGTACATTCACCGCTACGATACAGACAAGAAGAGAAGAAAAAGTATGTAACATGTTGGTTAAATGAAGAACACCTAATGAATGTGTAGCTAGCTAGTGAGTCTCTCCATATAATTATTTGCCGTAAAACATTCAAAATGTCAAAAGATTCTGGCATTGACGAGCATAGAAATAAAGCACAACGAGAGTGAACTTGAAGCCACCCTCGATTTAGACCAACAATAAATTGCCAAAATATATTATACAAAAACAGACCCATCTATCTTTCTTTTTTTTCTAAATATATTTCAATCCAGAGATATATTGCTGTCTAGATATTATATACTGGGCCACGGAATAAATAATGCCTAACAATCCCAACACCCTAATCTTAACCAAATCCGATATTATGATGGACGGCAGATTGAGAGGCAATGTTAGCAGTGGCGTCGAATCTGTTGTCTTCGAGTAAGTCCAAACAAATCGGTTGAATAGGATGTGGCTTGGGAATGTAATGATGAGGAGGGCTAGATTCTTGACCGTGAAAAACCAACTGGGACCCCCGACTTCCATGCCCCATCCGGCATTTCCGTGCCAGACATCTTCCCATATGATGTATAATGATGTTATAACCAAATAGACCGATATGGCAACTGTAACGGGGAAATACCTCTGTTTGTCCCCGAATCCGGCAACAAAATCAGAGTCCTGGTTGAGAAGCAGTAATATGGGAGCCAGGAAGAATATTGCCTGGTTTGAGCCACCGGTGAGATTAACGTTTAGAATCAGGCATATAGCAAAGCACATCACGGTAGCAACATTACCAACCGCAGGCATCCATGCTCCTTCCGCAGCCATCCGTTTAATTGTGAAGCTTGACACAGAAGAGGCACGGCGTTGTTGCATGAACCTCATTCGTGGAGCAGAACCCACAGAGTTGCCTTGGCCAGACTGATTATGTCTAACTGGGCCCCTATCGAGACTCTTTTCCCGTATAAGTGAGGCTAGTTCGTATTTTATTTCCAAAGCTATAAGCATAAATATTGTTGCATACAGACCAAGAAGAGATGTCCTGGCCCCCTCAACAGCCAGTAGAGTTGTAATATTCCTCTCTTCCTCTCCGGAACCATCAAATTCGTTTTCTGCAAGGAAGATTTTAATTCTCACTTGCCCTTCCAATAGGTAAGTCACGGGAAATAGAGCAACAAGGAGGGCAAACACCCATGGTAGGAGCTTCGTGCTGTAAGCAGAGGGAAAATGGGTGAAGACCACAAAAACAGATGCACAAACCATTGTCACAATGATGAGGGCATGAAGGACAGCAGCCTGCAGGAAAAACTCAGCAGATATGTAAACACCGAGGGCAACACCCATCACAATGGCATAAAATGCTCTCAACTCCACAATGTATTTAATGGGTATGACGGATGTTGCAGCAGCTAAGGTGAGAAGAATTGCCAATATAAGTAGCCATGAAGGCCAAGTTGGTTTTGACGCCATAAAGCCATATATGGAAATATCATCAGCAGATTGGCGTGCAGCTCTGATTATCTCAGACCGGTTAGTCCATGATAATGGAATTGGTGGCTGCATGAGGATAAACAGGAGACCTGTTGCCACCACCAGTAGAATGCATCTCTTTGCAGACTGCATAAACAAGAGTATAATATAATCAATGTACTACGTTTTCTGTGAAGAGACAAATATTCTGTCAAACATTATTTAATACAATTGACACAAAAAACAGCCATAATTTCTTATTCATGTTCAAGAATCATCAAGCACTAAATTAACTATGATATTCAACTCAACAAGATGAAGCCATATATCAGATACTTCAATTTCTTTCTCTGTTCAGTTATTAGTTAGAATCTTGTTCTATTAAAGCTTTAGGAGGAGAGATGGTGCTAGAAGCGTGATTGAACATTAAACAATTCCTTTCCTAATCAAACAAAACAATATATTTTTTAAACCGGATAACAACATAATAGGGATATTTCATAACAAATAATAACATAAAAAGATACATGGCAAAACAACAGTATGTATCCATACCATTACATGAGAGAAATGCAGAGCAACTATGGGTACACAAGCCACCCCTGTCAAAAGGATACAAAAACCTAGAAGTAAACCGTCAGATGGAGGTCTACCATGCCACCATTGTAAAGCTTCAAAAATTGTTTCGCGGCAAAACCATACTGATAATGCAACCACAGCAGCATGTGCATAGCCTTGCCAGGCTTTCATCTTTGATGCTGTTCTCGACTTATCCCTTCAAAGTTTATAAAGTGAACAAAAAGAAAAGGAGGAGGGAAAACACACCAATTCAATTTAAGAATTAGAGAGATTGAGAGATAAAGTGCTTACCTGTAAAGAAGCAATGGAGGAGAAACAGCCAATAAAAGGATAGCTGACACCCACACAACAGATTTTGATGTAAGAAACAACATAGACAGCTTTGAGGAATAAAGGCAAGTCAAAATCCAAACTGCCTTGGGTCCAATACGATGATCCACAGAGAGTCGTCGCACAAGTGCAAATCCAATCATTGTTGTCAGGATAACCATGTAGCTTGGATACATTACATCATCATCCAATCCATAATAGTATATGCTTGAGTAACTAAAAAACCGATTCTCAATATAGCATAGTAGCAATGCGTGGCTTATCAAACTGGCTTCAGTCAGAAAATGAAGCTTTGATGGAAGAAGTGCTAAACCCGGAATAGCAATGGCTAGAACAACATCCGCAACAATAAGCTTACAAAAGGATTTCAGGGACATGCCTGCCAACCATATATTTAAGTCCCAAAAATTATGCATCACAAACCACGTGACCATCAAGCTCCCAAGCACAAAGAAAGCAAAATACGACGGTAGGCTCTTCCTTGTAAAGAAACGAGCTAAGTAAAAGCCAGCAACTGAAGGTAATGGAATAAACTGCAAAATAAAGTAAATACCACTAAAAATTTTAAAGATTAAAATAAGAGTTCATTTCTTATTCTGTACTATCTTTTGATAAAATTCATTATATAACAGCACAAGATAAGAACAACAATTATCAAAAAGAGATTCGAAGAAGATCCCAAAGCATAGCCAATTCTGGTATCTACTACCTTGCAAATGAATAGTTCAAGTCTAATAAGGATAAAACAATCAGGTAACAAGAAGATAGCTCACCCCAGGCATTTGTCAATCATCCTTGAAGCATATACAACTATTTAAAATTTGGTCATGCTCTTTGCAACTCAACTATAACCAAAAAAGAAGCCAACTTCTTATGCTATTTTTCAACTTGTTATGCTCGTCTAAGTACATTTTAGGAGACAACATACAGAGTGAAACATGACCAGCGGACAAAACATTTCAAGAATAAAAGCAAAATAATAACCATATATCAAAATTGTGCATAGAACAGTTACTAGGTTGATTCATTTCAAATAAGGCAACAAAAGAAACAAACATACCAGTATTGGAAATCCAACCACAATTGCCCCAGCAGCACTGACAACAACAGCCAAAGAAGTGAAGGCCAATGAGCTAAATGCATCAGATACCATTCCCAGTGCATAAAAACCTGCTCCAGCAGCTCCTCCAAGCATAGTAGTGGTAACAAGAAGATAATTTAGGGGTGGTGGCACCTGAATGTACCTCCCAAACGAACGAAACACAACTCTAATCTCAAGGCAAATCACAACAACAATCAATGCAATTGCACCGTTGACCAACTGTATGCTACGCAGCTGTAAGGGATTCTTCGTGACCCACCACAATGCTCCTCTTGTCGAAGCATACAATTGGAACAGGAAAGGAATAAAGAAGAGAAGAAGCAAATCAATGATGGAAGCAGCAGACGAGAACATCACAGAGTAATGCGAAGCGATATGGAAAAGGAGAGGAAAAAACAATAAATTCAAAGTATGGAGACAACTCTCGAGTGGACCAAGAATCAAATTATCATCAGGAACTTCACCACCGTGGTACTTCACTTCTTGTTTGGTTTTAAAAGAAGAAACTCTAGGAATTGCGAAAACCCAATAGAAAACGCAGTTGAAAGTCATCAAATAGTAAGAAGCATTGTTCATACCAACAGCAGAGACGGTAGCCCAAGTAAAGATCGTAGAAGCAGCAAAAGGAACGCAAGAAAAGAGGAGCCGCTCCAAAGCCAGAACAATCGAAGGGTTTTCAATCTGAATCCACTTGAACTGAAGCGAGGCCCAGGCGCCGATGAGGAAATTCGTCTCGGCGCAAAGACAAGCCGCGAGGATAGAAAGGGGAACCGAGTTCAAGGTATAGTAAAGCGAAGCGCTGAAGAAGAAAGCAATCTGAGCTGCGATGAGAGAGAACCAAACGCCGAAGAAAGCGCCGGATTTGAAATTGAGTGAATCGACTAT